TACCCATTCTGCTTTTGATTCCCTGTAAACTGTTCTTTACTTCAGTTAGTGCGTCCTTCGTTTCTGCAGGATGAATGTAGTTTCTTTAATTCCTTAGTTGTCAGATTTCCATACAGCTTGATTTTCTGATAGTTCTGAGTGATATTTGTTCTGTAATTTAGCTGTAATTTTTCTGTGGTTGTGCAAGGAGGCAGGCTGTGATTACCTATGCCTCCATTTTGACTAGAAGTCTCTGGGAGTACAATTCTCTAAAATTCTATATTACATCATCTGTGTATTGTATTGTGTGTTCACCATCCCAAGTCAAATCTCCTTCCATCACCATTTATCCCCTCTTTACCCTCTTCTACCTCCTCCATCCTCCTTTCCCTCTGATAATCACCATACTGTTGTCTGTGTCTATTAGTTTTTTTTCTTTGGTTAATCCCTTCACCTTTTTCACCCAGTCCCTCAACACCCCTCCCCTCTGACAGCTGTCAGTCAGTTCTCTGTATCTATAAACCTGTTTCTATTTTACTTCTTAGTTTATTTTGTTCATTACATTTCACATATATGTGAAATTATATGGTATTTGTCTTTCCTGGCTGGCTTATTTCACTTAGCATAATATTCTCCAGGTCCATTCATGCTGTCACAAAAGTTAAGATTTCCTCCTTCTTCTCCTTTTTTTAGTAGCTGAGTAGTATTCCATTATATACATATACCACAACTCTTTTATCCACTCATCTATTGATGGGCACTTGGGCTGCTTCTAAATCTTGGCTGCGGCAAATAACATTGCAATGAACATAGGGGTACATATAGTCTTTCAAATTAGTGTTGCAGGTTTCTTTGGATATATCCTCAGAAGTGGAATTGCTTAGTCATAAAGCAGTTCCATTTTTATTTTTTGGAGAAAGCTCCATACTGCTTTCCAAAGTGGCTGCACCCGTCTGCATTCCCAACAACAGTGTACGAGGGTTCCCTTTTCTCCACATCCTTGCCAACACTTCTTTGTTGATTTATTGATGACAGCCATTCTGACAGCTATGATATGATTAGTGACATTGCACATCTTTTCACATGTCTATTGGCCATCTCTATGTCCAACTAATTAATGCATTTTTTAAAGTGATTAAGTTTCAGTTGCAGGAACAACGGAAAAATAAAACCTTACTATGCAGCAATTTATGAGATCTTGGATAAATGTTTGATCAAACCATTTTGGTTTGCCTTTATTTCTAGATATAATAGTTGTTTTTTAAATTTATGATCTAAAAACTTTTTCTTAAAAATGTTTATTAAAAACTTTAAAACAAAGTTGCATGACTTTCTTTTAAAACAAATAGCTGTGAAGAATTTGGGAACTTAATTTTTTTTTTTTAAATGCAGTGATCTGCTTCACTCTTCAAAAGTTTAATAGATTGTTTGATCTGCTGAAAGCACAAATTTGCATTTAAAATCATCCCCAATACAGTCATAAAGCCTTATTCTGTGCTTATAGGATTTAAAATGATTTTCCTTTTGCTTATCTCTTAGCTTTAAACATTTACTTTAAAATCAATAAGAAAATTTGAGTACTCTAAGAGAAGAATGAGCATAGGGCAGAACAGGAAGCTGTTGGGTAAATGAATAAATATGAAAACAAAAGAGAAAGAATATGAAGAAACACAAAGAGCCAGAAAGCAAATGAAAGATGGTTCTACCTCCTTGGCAATCAAGAAATTGCAAATTAAAATCATAAGTTAGCTAAAGTATATGAGTGTCTAATCACTATGCTGTACACCTGAAACTAATACCAAATAATATTGAATATAAACTATAATTGAAGAAATTTTTTAATTTAAAAATATGATAATAAGTTAGCCTGTTTTGCCTACCAATTTGGAAAGGAGCAGGAACTTAATACACTGTCATTTTGAATATAAATTTTCTCAACTTTTCCAAGAACAATTTGACAAAATAAACTAAAAGCCTTAAAAATATACTTGTTTTTGACCTATAAATTTCACTTCTGAGAATATATCTTAATGAAATATATATGAATATTTAGCCATAAAGATAGTGAAGTGATATTTAAGGTAGTAAAGTATTGGACATCATTTAAGTGACTAACAAGAGCAAAATAAAATTATGGCACTTCATTTTTATCTAATATAATGATATTTGGTTATTAAAAGTATTTTTCACATGTTTATTTTTTGGCATTATAAGGTGCTGAAGATGACCCTGACTAGTGTGTCTCAGTGGGTTGGGTGTTGTCCTGCAAACCAAAAGGTCACCATTTTGATTCCCAGTCAGGGCATGTGCCTGGGTTGCGAGTCAAGTCCCTAGTGGGGACGTCCAAGAGGCAGCCCATCGATTACATTCATCTTTTTCTCCCTCTCTTTCTCCCTCCTTCCCTCTCTCTAAAGATATATAAGTAAGTAAGTAAGTAAATAAATTTAAAAGTACACTGAAGATGTATTAAGGGGAAAAAGCAAATTAAAAATAATTGTTACAGTATTGTGTACAAATATTTACAAATTTTGGAGAAAGGGAGACAGACTGAGATAGAAAACATGAAGTATATACAGATGTGTTTGCAGTGGTCATTTGTGAATGATTAGATTGTGGCTGCTTTTAAATATTTTTCTTGTTCATGGCCTCTGACTTTCCTCTGGTGAACTCAAAAGATTTTATAGTAAAGTGTGTTGGCTTTATTTAAAATGTAAAGATTATAGTTTTGCTTCCAAGTTTTCCTTGAGAAACCAATAGAAACATGGAAGAAGGGGTTGAGCCTGCAGTTTACATAAGGGGACACAGGTGGGAAGCAAAGAGATACGTGAACTCATAGCTGGGAGAAGAAATGCAAATATAACATCATTAGGGTACCACTTTGTATCCATGGGACTGGCCCCAAAGTAGAAATTTGGTGAGAAACAGGGGAAATAGAATTCTTGTTGGAGTCTCAGGAGTGAGTCAGGAGTGTCTTTTCGGAGGGCACCTCCAAGTAGGTATTTTTGTGATTAACCATCAATCAGGGCCCAGAAATAAGGAGTTTTTTTAAAAAAACAACAAATAAAAACAAACTGTTCTATTGTGGATTATTTTAAACTTTTTATTTTTATAGACTTTTATTATTTGTATTATAGAAAGAAAAAGCCAATAGGAGTACTACTCTAAACCTAATTCACAAAACAGAAGAAATTATATTAATAAGAGAAGGTAATTAGAATTTTGGTAAAGGTTGACATAAACTTAGATTTTGCAACAAATGAGGAGTAAACAGCTAAAGATGACTATACACGTGAACTTTTGGGGAGCAGACGTCAACATTTTAAAGCATTAACAGGGAACTTGTTAGAGCCTCGAGAAGCCGCTAGCCCCGAGTAGCGTGGTAACTTAGCAGAATGTGGGATGAGGAAACAACCATTTGACCGGGCACACAGCAGATCTTGAGGACAATGAGTACTTTATACATCCTCAAAATCAGTCATAGTAACTAACTCCTATGCTAACTCAGAAGGGAAAAGATGTTATAAACAAATAGACCTCCAGTATCGTTACAATTGAGTCTTCCTCTGACCGCCACTGTGAGGTGGCGTGTGAATGCGCAGAGTAGTGTGCAGTGCCTAATTGTAAAGGATACAATGGGTCGTGATAGAAGATTTAGCCTTATAATAAATTATAAAAAGCACATGATCACAGTTTCATTTTAGACAATTAATTATGGAGGCTTAGAGAGAAAGAACATCTGTGATTAGGCGATCAATTTGTGAATAAACCAGGCCTCCGAGAAAAGAATATGGGTTTTACCATGATGCCAGCCAAGCAGGACATGACCGATATTTATTTAGTACACAAAGGACCGAATTAAGGCAGGATGTCGTTTCTAAGGAGGCCAAAAGTATGTGCGTGTAGAGGGGGGTGGAGGGTGGCCCAGATCGTAGGCATAAGCTAGAAACCTCAGGAAGCAATGAGCATTAGACTAGGAATATCATGTCTGGAACTGAAGGCCAACTGAGGCAGTGACAGTGGAGACAGTGAGTAATGAAGGTGTATAGCACAGGTCCGTTGGTGGTACCAGGGAGCTGGAGACCACCCAAGGGCCCGTCTCTGAGGAGAGGGAATAAATTTTAGTTGACGGTCGCCATGGAGTTCTACGCAGCTGCAGTTAGAAATAGGTGTGTAGTTAGCTCAGGAAAGGTCCAGAACTAGGTTCGCCACATAAAGTACAGGGTGCCCAATTACCTTTGAATTTTTGATGTAAAAAAACCAAATGCTTTTTAAGGATAAGCATATCCCAAATGTTTCCTGGATCCGGCATCCCTGACTGTAGCACAACACAATTGGTGAAAATGAAAGCTATGTACAAAGACAAATCAACACGACTTTTAACAATATGTGGCAAACACATTAATAACTATTGTGTTTGTAAGGGTGGATGATGGGGATCAAAAGCAATAAATAAATACCACATACATAGAAGAATAGAGGGCTTTGAATGAACAGGTGATGATAGCGAGCTGAGTATGATTACTTTAACTTTCCATACCCACATTCAAAAGGAAGTTAATAAAAAAAGGCTTTCCAGTCCTGTCCTGGAATTTCCGTCACCCAAGTCCTGATGACGCTGCCTGGCTGATAAAGACAATGTTCGGTTTCTACAAAACAATCCCCGTAGGCTGCTCTGTCCCTCCCAGAAAACTTCAGCAGCAGGGAAGTGAGTAGGAGAAGGAACGGGTAGGTAACAAGGGACTCGGGGGGGAAAAAGAAAAACTTTATAAATCTAGTAAAAAATGAAACTAAAGCACAAATCAGTTAGGAGCATTGCTTCACCTAGATTTAGTCTTTTAATAGAGGAACGTGTTTACATTCTTAGAGATATTAGTAAAAGAATATCAGCCAGCATGAATCCTTGACTGTTGCCATAGAAACCACTAGAAGAAGAGGCAAAGTTTCAGTTTCCCCACTGAAAAAATTGACATGTCACTGGGTAACTCTTATTCTTAAAACCATTTTCTTTTTTAACATTACAGCGGATTACAAGGAGAGCTTTAATACAATTGGAAACATTGAAGAGATTGCATATAATGCTGTTTCCTTTACCTGGGACGTGAATGAGGAGGCAAAGGTGGGTAAAAAAGTAGCATTGATTCATTGTTCAGGTCTTTAAGGTAATGTGTCCTTTCTCTGCAGGTGATTTTTTTTTTTTAAAGAAAGGCTTTATAGGTAGGGAAAGATCTGTTAACTTGAGCCAAAACAAAGGGAAATGAACTTACTATCTTTCTCTAGAAGTCACAACCATCCAATTCTGTTCGGCTAAATTGCCTTTTGGGGGTAAAGGAGAAAAGGGCAGATGTGTCCCTGCGTGGTCCCCCAAGGACTCCTCCAAGACCCACGTCCCTTCCAAGCCTCCAGGCCCTGATTTAGCCCTTGGGGCTGGCAAAGAATGGGCCAGGGACTCTTTTCTACCTGCACTGCACGTTTTCCCATGCCCCTCTCTAACCGCAGCCTGCTTCAGAGGGAGCAAGGTGTTCAGAGGTAATGTTTTCATAGGGAAGTGCCTGCGAAGTCTCCTGACCCCACAATTCCTTCCAAGTGTAACCTGGTTGAGTGAGGGGGCAGAGGGCAGGGTGGCAGGTCTCTGAACTTCAGTCCCTGAGGCGTGCCCCCTGTGACCCTGAGCCATTTTTTCCCCTTGATGACTGCTTAAGCTTTTCCTACTTCTCTCTGGTGCCAGTATGGTTAAAAAGGGACCTGTAAACTCTCCAGCAAGGCATGCCCTGAGGATAGCTGTCTACCGTTGTTGCCCAGGTGAAAAAGTGAAACTCGCTGATACCCAATTTGCTTCCTAAGCACACGTCTCTTTGAGTTTATGAAAATTCCAAACTCTCCTGCTGTGCCTTTTTTTTTTTTTCTGTGTTGCATAGCTTCTGATTCTTGATCCTTATTTTGCACCAAAGGGAAGCTTCCAGATGAAACCTCAGTTTGTTTTGTACCTCCGTGGAGAACCACCTAGGAGGGCGTGAACAAAACTCTGTCTTCAAACTAATGGAAAGGTCAATGTAAACAACTCCCTTCAATGCTTTATTGTCTGCAAGCTGGGGGACGGCTGGGTGAGAAAGGAAACTGGATTGGAGTTTGTGGGCAGGATTTACAGAAGAAGATGAATTGCTCACTGTCTCATTTCACTCAGGTATAAAACAATTTAAATGAAACTGGCTTTAGGCCCAAGAAAGGCGACATAAATGGGCACGCGGCGGCGGAGAGCGGAGCAGCCCGGAGAAGGCTGCAGGGGCTCAGCGCGGAGGGCGCGACGCAGGCCTTGCCGTGCGTGGGCGGTCAGGCCCGCACAGAGCTGTAGGGACGTTTGTCTCTTAGGGTTCATTTCAAGTCCCTCGCCCAAGGGCTCTGTGTTCCTCATGCCCCTTGCCCTCAGAAGCTCGGCTGCTGAGCTAGATCAAGACAAGGCATCTGTACGAGGCCCAGCGGGGCTGGGTTAGAATCCTCAGCAAGCCACCCCCACCTCTCCGAGCCTCACTCAGTTCCCTTACTCAAAACAAAATAAAACAGGACAAACTTTTCCAAGTCACTCTGCCATACCAAATGTGGTGTGGTGAGGAGACCCGGTGAGGGCGACCCAGGGACCGTGGAGCAAGTGCGAGGAGTGAGAGGCAGGCCTCCGCCGATCCCTGGGCAGATGGCGGGGTCCACGCATTGGAAGGGCCCTGTCAGTGTAAACGCGCTGTAAGGGTGAGCCGCCGCCGCCGGAGCCCTACTGTCATCCTTGTGCCATCTGTGGGGATGCGCGTAGTGGGTCAATGCCTGAACTGTTATGTGTCAATAGGGACCCTTTAAAGAAAATGCCAAATATAAATATAAATCCATATCAACAAATTGGACAATAGCACATTAGGGTTAAAAAGGAGATTCTTTCCTATAAGACCAGCTTTGGAGAAGTCAGTGTCAGAAGAGACACCACAAATAAACTTTGAGCCACAGCAGCATCATTTGAGAAAAACATATGTCTTCCCAAGATGACTATGTTAAACCATAGTTTTATTTGGATATTTAAGTTTTGGTGCATTTATTTAAAACAAACAAATAAACAACAGTCCAGTATTTGATCTTCTTACTACATATGTATAATCAAGAGCTAATGATAAGGTGATAGATTTTTCCAGAGCACATTTCTCCTTTTGTCGTTATTGTTGTTGACCTATGTTTTCCTTCTACCTCTCGTTTAGCAGGAACAGAAGAAAGGAAAGGATGTGAAATTCTCATTGTTTAGTTGAACTATAGAAAAAAGTTTGACTGGGGAAAGTGTTAAAACAATTAACATGCGGTTTGGGAATTAACTCCTGATTCCTAGTATCAATTGCAGCCTGGTCCTGGCAGAACTATGACTGGCTTCTTCCCCCCAGAACCGGTTTTGCTGGTTGTGCCACAGTGTCTTTCTGCACAATGACACCAGCGGTAGAACTAGTCTCCAACGGGACGTTTTTCCCCCTCAGCGTCTGTGCAGTCTGGACGCTTGTGTAATGTGAACAGGTGTCCCTGGGTCCCTGGGAATGACTCGGGTGACATCTCAGTGGGTAAGGTTGTGAGTCCCTGTCCGTCCTGTTACAGCTTGGCATTGATGGGGGGATGGGGCGGTGGGTGATACAGAGGAAAAGGCACTAAAATGAGGTTCAGGCACCCAGGTAGTAGTCCTGGCACCGGAATAGTCAGCTTTGCGCCTTCTCCCTTCTGAGCTTTGCTTCCCTCAGCTGGAAGGGGAGCAGGGACAGATTATCAAATCAAATAGACATGATTAAGGTCCCATCCATCTGATTCTAATAGAGGACTGCTATGCGACATTCTTTCACATGACTCCATTTATAAAGCTATTTCTATTTTTCTTTCTTCCCTTAGCCAAACACTGGTACCTACAAAGCAGATTTATTGGTCGCTAATCCCCAAGACGAGCAATTCCCAGGCAAGACGCTACCCAGTTAGTGAAGAGCAGTGCAATCAGATTCGCGGCACCGGGGCTGTCTTTCTCCGGGCAGTGACATCACCCCCCGCCCCCCGCGCCAGAGCGCGAGCACAGCGAACCCTGATTAGAGGCTCCCCTTTCTCCCAGATTTCTAAGGAGATTCTTGAAACGGCACCGTTTATTTTTGTCTGGTGTCTTTTCTCTGTTCACTGTGATTTCAGGATGAAGCCAACCTCCGTGTGTTACGCGGGCCCCTCCCACGTGACCACGGAGAATGACTTGAGCATTCAGATGCTCCTTAGTGCCTTGAGGAACAAGTTTCCTTTTTTGCGCCTTTTCACTGGACCACCATACCAATTTCCCCGTTTCTATGCCTCGCCCCTCTGCAGCCGGGCCTTTAGGAATGTTCTGGAGTCGGTGAAAATATTACTCCTTCCTTACTACCAGCACCACTAAATCATGAAGCAAACAAAGAAATCCACTACTGGCCCATCCCTTCTGTCTCTAAGATTATTTTAAAAACCTATTGCAGTTCAGTAATATGAAATTCTTTCTCTGTAGGGTTACTCTTTGCAGCCTTCTAGCCCAGCACCTCTGCTTGCAGAAGCAGAGCCATCGCCCACTTCGGGGAGGCCGCCCTGCCCCTCCTTCCGCGCTCCATTTTGCGCTGCAAGAGGGGCTGGGGGCTTCAGGGATGGGCTAGTCCAGCCTTCTGCTTTCAAGATCAGTGGTTAATGCTCTTCCTATATTTGGGGACTTGGGAGGAACTTTTAGAAAGGAAGTTGTTGCAATTTTAGAAAGAGTTAAGGACTCATATATGGCGCATATATATATATATATTTTCATCCGTTAACAAATTTTTGTGGCGAGATTGTGGGTGGGCAAGACTGACACCTGATTGGGTTGGGGTGGGGAGCAGAGAGGCTGAGAGATGTCATGGATCGTTTTCCTGTGCATCTCAGATTCTGATTCCACTAAGTATCAAGTTCCTATACATATTGGGTACTGCACGATTAGGCAAGTGCAAAGGTGGACTTTGAACCCACGTCCCTCTGAGTCCAGAGTCCATGCTCTTAACCATCCCAATAGAGGAAAATCTTCTCCTTTTTTTTTTTAAAGGCCGAAGTATGCTATGTTTTTCTTCCTCAAAAATATATATAAGGTACAAAGTATGTAGGTCCAGAAAGAAAGAACACAAACGAACAGCCCATTTTCTTGAGCAAAGCAGTTTAATCAAGTCACCCTGCTTTTGCCACCCTTTGCCTCCCCCGTCCCCACCAAGATGGCCTCACTGGTCCAGCACTTCAAGCACACGGGTCTCTCCCTGTTCACATCTTTGGTTGCCCTACTACATTACCTGTTGGTACCATACGTGTTATTGACCAGATGGATTAGTGGATTTGGAAGTGAGGACTTTTAGGATACCTTGCCATCTTCAACTGTGTGTGAGTGTGTGTGTGTGCGTGTGTGTGTGTGTGCGCGCGCGCGCGCGCGCACGCACATGCCCGCCTAATATTAGTGATTGGCATAATTACTACCTCACTCTGTATTAACTGAAGATCAATGTACGCCTTCTCATATTGTAAAATATCAATGTTTTCTTCTCCATATCTTTACACACTTATTCTCCACTCCCCATTTATATCTAGCTCCTTTCCTTGGTGTTTAGATTTTTATTTTATATTCATTTACATAACTTCCACGCACTTTTCTTTTTATGCTTTTTTTTCTTGCTGTGAACAGTGAAGACTAGTCCTTACTCTTTTGTCTTGTTTTGTTTCTTTCACAATACCATGCAGGAAGTACAGCATAAAAAAATTTCAAAGTAAGAACAATGATTATTATCAGAGAAAATGAAAGTTGCAGAAGTCACACAGTGGCTAGCTGCTTTATGTTTGCAACATAAGAAGTCCAATAAACAAAAACCCACATTCAGCAAGCTAGTAAATCAGAAGTAAATATTTACATATAAGCAATGTTTATTGTATGGGTAGATTTCTCTAACTTTGGGTCCCTTTGGATGCTTTAGATAAATTGGATTTGTAGAAGAGATTTCATGTAATTTTTGACATTATAAAAAAAATAAGGTGAGGGAATACATGCTGATATTCCCTCTGGGCCCTATTTTCCTTAAATTTTTACCTTATTTTCCT